TTTTTTTTTGAACGTACATATGAACAACAAAAATTATTAATAATCAATGGTAATTCTTAGCCACTTAGAAAATCTGAATCTAAAAAATTCCATATCTATATTTTTGTAAATTAGCGGAAAAAAAATTACTTAAAAGTTCTTTTGCACTCATTGCGAAACCACATTGGGCATTTTGACTGACACTCACTGTGTTTATTAGTATTCCTAAAATTTTCAACATTATTAATACTTGCTCCTACTTTCTTTTGATTTTTTATAGACAAAAATATCTTTTGGATCCAAAGTATATGACAAAGCGAGACATGCAACACTATTATCGCTACTACCACAGCGCAGCAAAAGGTCAGCGAAAATGCAGAAAAGTTATTTTCCTCGTGTTTTGTGTTTGTTCGGTCGCTTACTTGTTCGTTGACTATAATCTGCGTTCAAAAATCATTCAGTTTCGTGATCGCTTCGAGTTTTTAGCTCGTGTTGACGCCGACTATAATGTTACACAAGCATACTTTGTGAATACGCCAGGTTGTCATATGCCATATTTCGACGTCACCAATTATCGAATTCTTCAATACATGGGTGCGCCGCCCAATCTGACCTGTGAGAGAGCACTTACTAGCACAAGCGAAATCGGTTCTCGTTTGTGGTGGACAATGACGGATGAGGAGTTGATGCACCGTTACAAGATAAACGATACCAAAAGGATCAAGTGTCATTATGCTTCACTCAAACGCAATCATTCATTAACAAACAGTACTTTCGAAGGAGCAGTTCCATTTAAATTGGCTTACAATCAATCAATCCAAATTTCTCCTCAGACTGAATGGATAAGAGTTCGTTGTTCGCATAGCAAAACGAAAAAAATCTTTTACGAAGATTACCATTTTTTTGCTTTAGATAAAAGAAAGCCCACGGAGAGCATACAAGCCAGAAGGTCAGAAAAAATTTCCGAAAATAAACGGCTTCGAAACGTAAGAAATGAAGAAAAATTAAATGTTATCTCAAATGCTAATACAGGCGGCAGTTATGAACCTAGTGAAGAACATACACAAAAACTGTCGGTAATGCTTCTTGGTATCGGTAGTGTATCACATTTAAATTTTTTGCGGCACATGAAACGCACCGCTGCTTATATTCGCAAACGTCTTGATTTTGTCGAGTTCTGGGGTTTTAATAAATTAGGTGACAATGCCTACACTAATCTAATTCCACTTCTTACTGGCCTGGCGGCAGATGAACTGAAATTATCTTGCATGCGGCCGAGGGAATTACTACAATATGTAGATGATTGTCCATTTATTTGGAAACGATTTAAGGGAACCGGATATATGACGGCTTTCCTTGAGGATGTGGCCAAAACTAGTTTATTTAGCGCGGACACAATCTTCAAACATAATCCAACCGATTATTATATGCGACCTATTGTTATGGAAATGGAGAACAACATTGGCTACTATTACTCAGTAAATGTTGATTTATGTATGGGAGGACGTCGCACCGTTGATTTAGTACTTGAAATGATCCATAAACTAATACCCTATCTTCAAACGGACGACTTCTTTTCTCTGTTTTGGTTAGTATCTATGACTCATGATTTCATATATATGCCAAAACTTCTTGACAACGATTTTGTTAGCTTGTTCGAGCGTTTTGAAGCCTCTGGTATTCTGAATAAAACAATCATTCTCTTATTGAGTGACCAGGGTATGCGCTGGGGCTCGTTTCGTCGAACTTACCAAGGCATGATGGAAGAACGCCAACCCTTGCTCGTTGCCATTTATCCATCTTGGTTTAAACAAAAATACCCCGAAGCCGTTGCCAATTTGGAAATCAACTCGAAGCGATTAACGACCGCCTATGACGTATATGCCACTATATTGGATCTTCTGAATTTAAACAATTTACGATCACCGGAATTAAAGTCCCGCGCTAAAGAGCTGCGTGATGCTGATATAATGCCTCGAGGTATAAGTCTATTTCTTCCTGTGCCGGAGACGCGCACTTGTGAAAACGCTGGCATTGCATCCCACTGGTGCGCTTGCCATCAACGCACTGAAATGCCAACCAACGATGGTCGCGTACAGGCTGCAGCACGTTACGT